AGATTTCACTATCTCTACCCTGCCCCATTGTCTAGCATGGTAGAGCTCCACTTAAAACGTTATGACCAAGTAGATCCATTGGTCATTCCAAATGGAATGAAAGGAAGAAAAGTATTCTAAAATGCAGCCACACTCAGGAATAATGATGAAGAATCATTCCTAAGAAGAGGAGGAAGGACTACCAACTTGCCAAGAAGGAGGCATGAGGAAATGCAAGTGGCAGGTACAGCATGGAGTATTTCACAAATTAGTGTACTTAGCATGCCGATCAAGGGGTCACCATCTCTAGAAACAGGAGCCCAGAGTGACCTTCTAGTCCTAGTCTAGTGTAGTTAAGGTTAATTCTTCCTTTTCCTTGTGTAAATGTCTTCCTTTATTGGGCCTAATGTTCCCTATTGCCAAATGAAATACTTGACCTTGGTGACCTCCCAGCATCTCTGACTTCCCTACATTTGTTGAGAATTCTTGCAACAAGTTTTCATAAAGATCAAGAATTTTTCTGAGGCAGCAAGTGTGAGCTCTGGAAGAAGTATGGGCTTAACTCTATTTTTTTTTTGTTTTGGGTCACAACTGGTAGTGCTCAGGGCTTATTTCTGGTTCCGTACTCAGATATTACTCCCGAAGGGGTTAGGAAGGCCATATGGGGTATGGTGGATGGAACCTGGGTCAAGCGCATGCAAGGTAAGCACCCTACCTGCTGTACAATCTCTCAAGTCCAAGAACAGGCTTGAGTCTTGAAGGCTGACTAGTCTCTGAGAGTGGAGTACTGAGTAAGATAAAGTGTCATTTAAAAGATGAAACCACTGTTTGCGCTATGTTTTATCATCAATCCCATCTAAACTTGGCCGCATAGGCAGCTTTGTCATCTTGGCTCCATGCCTTCTCCATGTTGGTCCTCAAATTCTCATGTGTGCTATGGTCTTCTCTCAGCACCCAGGAGATGTTTGGAGATAGTGACACCCTTGGCTCTGCCAGCTTTACTGCATGCAGATGAAATGAATGAAGCTCCATCTCTTAGGGAATGAATGGGATTTCTCATAAGGTGTGACCCTCATTGTGAGGGAGATATCTTGATGAGAGATTTAGAATAAAGCTTAATTCTCTAGGGTCTGGCTGTCTCTTCCCAGAGAGAGGGAGGCGTGGCAGGAATTTGATGGGTGTGGGTAAACAGTAAGGCAGGCAAGGCCATAAGGCAGGGTAGCATGTGGTCAGTCGCCCCAGCTCATTTCCCTATCTGGCATAAAACCCAAGAAATCAGAAAAGTTTGGGATTCTTATGGAAACAAATGAACAGAATGATTTTTCAAATCTGAAGTTAGACAGACAAAACTATGATAGAAAAAGGCAACACAGAGCAGGACTAAACAAGGCTTTATAAAAGACCTTTGTAAGCTAGAGATGTGCTTTCATTGGAAGCCCACTTGGGACTGGAACAATGGGTAGAGCACTTGCCTTGAATGAGGCTGATTCAGGTATGAATTCTAGCACCTTGTATAGTCCCCCGAGCTTGCCTGCAGTGATCGCTGAGCAGAGTCAAAAGTAAGCTCTAAGCATCACTGGATATATTCACAATCACTACCACCCTAACCACAAAAAAAAAAAAAAGAAGCCCCAATCTGCAGTCAAGTCCATGTGCACCCAAGGTAGAGTTAAGGTGGACTCAATTCTAGTTTCTTTTTTTTCTTTTTTAATTTTTTATTAGTGAAATACCATGAGGTACAGTTGTAGACTTACAAATCTTTGTGCTTGGGTTTCAGTTATACAATCCTAGTTTCTTAATCTGTGGCTTGTGTAACATATTGGGGTCACATCACTGGATATAAGAATTGTGAAAATCTAGCAAGAGCAAAACGTTTCTGACTATGCAAAGACCAAAAGTTAGTTCAACATCAACTGTGTCATGAATTGAGGTATCTGCCAGTACTCTCCTGAGGTTTCATTTCTCAGGCAAAAAGGAACTGCATGTGGGAAAGTTTAAGAAGCCCTGGATAAAGTAAGGTGAGCTATGTTCTAGTTTGAGCCATCTGACTAACATTTTTGATTTTGAAGTGTTTTGCTTGACCTTGAGAATTATTTTTCCTCTTTCCTGGCATGTTTGCAGGTTCTATCTGTGATCATACCGCTCATCTGATAAAGGACCTTATCAGTGGCTATTCTGAGAGTCTGCAGGATATTTTGCCTATATCTTAAAGATAATTTGGAACTTAAGAAAACTTGAAGGAAAATTGGGCCAGAGAGATGGTACAGGATGTATGGCATTTGTCTTGCATTCAGCTAACGTGAGTTTGATCTTCGGCACCACATACAGTCCCCTGAGTGCAGACCAAGGAATTATCCCTGAGTGCAGTGCCAGGAGTAAGCCCTGAACACCACTATGGTTAGCCCCAAAACACAAACAAAAACTTGAAGGAAAATTTATCTCAAAGCAGAATGTAAGGGAAAAGTGGGTTTGCTAGCTGCATTACACCAAGTTTTCAAGGACCATATTCAATTTCTGGTCCTGGCTGGTGGCTGCTGTTATCAGGATGCTAATATCTAGGTACAACAGATCCATGAAGCCTCCCAAGGAAAAAAGAGGGGAGGTCAGTCATTTCAAGGACCTCATGAGAGTGAATCTTAGAGAAGATGAGCATTTACTAAAGCCTTTCTTCTGGCATTTCACAAATTATCCCTCTGTCCATCCTCAATCCCACCTTTCAATCTGAGCATCTCTAAGTCTATTTTACAAATGAGGGGATCAGCTCTGATCAAACAGCTGACAAAAGGTAAAGCATGCATGCAATCCTAGTCTGTCTCATCTAAAGCTAAGACTTCTTTTTTATAAAAGATGCTCCAGAGAAAGGAAAATACAGGGAGAAAAGTAAAGCTAATAACAAAAAATGGGGGTTGGGGGAGAGGGCAAGTTGCCTGGATAACTCTTTGCCCCTGGCCTGAAAAGGGACACACTGATAACTCCAGAGACATGGCTGCAGGAACTTGGGTGCTTGCTGGAAGCTGATCCAAGCCAGAAACTCAGCCATGGAGTCTAAGCACCAGATGTGCTGAGAACCAAGGTACATAGAATGCCAATGAGACTTCAAGGGCCGATGAGATCCCAGGAGACATGTGTTCCTATATTCTCAAAGGAAGAGCCAAGTCAGGTCAATAGTGATTGCAATGATGGCTCTCCTGGGACATCAGCTCCCCAGTGGGGGTCACCTCCCACCCTTCCATCATACTCAGTGGAAAGGCAATGGTAAGTGGGTCTGACTCTCTGTGATTAAGAATTATTATTAGTCACAAGGAGGATGGTAATCAACAGTACTAATTTATACACCTCCCTTTCCCCAGGGACTCTGATTGAGAGGAGTGTGACTTCTGTAGTTTATTAATATACCCCACATCTAGGTAAATGGTGCCAAGGAAAGGGCTCAGGGAGAGGGAGGTTCAACATTTCCACTGGTTTCTTTGCCTCTCTCTGATTTACATTTTGAAAGTAGCTCAAATGACAGGACTATGACTCTTTTAATTAGTGTTTTAAAATTTTAACTTAAATCCTGGGTTAAAAATCAGAGGACCTCCAGGTTGTATCCCAGAAGTGTTTCCCACTTTCCTCTGAGGCAGTGTAGTATGATGCCATATTCCATTCATTCATGTCTTAAAAGAGACATTCCCTGGACTGTTAATTTCATTGACTCTTCCCACTTTGTAGCCCACACATGTTATGGAGTAAAACTACATTGGTCCTCATTCAGTGACAGCCCTGTGAAAGACTCAAGACCGTTTTGAGATTTTTACCCTCATAAAAAGTTAGAGAAACCTTTAAATGCTCACAGGTCTGAAAATCATGACTACATAATATTACACCAACATTTTTTAAAAATCCTGGCCCCAATATTATTAATATTTTTGTTTGATGCATCACATATAACTGTAATGGGGTTTATAGACCTCCAAATCCACTTTTATCCCACAGAAATTTGCTCATACCCACCAGACAGGTAATGCTTGAGTGAGATATCATTTGGGTGTATGATAAAGGAGCACTTTTCCTAATAAGGTAAGCCAATGAGCACATCCTGCCACCTCTGGGTGTAATGTAAAAATCCAATGCTTGACCGAACATTAAGGACATTCATGATAGCAGTGTCATTTACTTGTTCTGAGCTTGTCCATGCCCCCAGCTCCCTCTCTCTGGATTCAGTTCCATCAGTCTTCAAGAATCAGTTATTAGTTATTCTTTACTTTTCTTTTTAACAGCACCACCCCATTCCAGTTCTTCCCCCCAAGAATCTGTTATGCTTGATGAACAATCAGAGCCCTTTTAAAACTGATGTTCTATGCCATGAGATCACTAGCTTATCATTTCCAAGTCTGGGCTTCTCCTCCAGTAGGTCAGAATAGGTCTTATTCACTTAGACCCTAGTGCCTGACCCTGGAAATCAATGCTTCCTGCCCACAACTGCTTCTCTCCCAGCTAGCCATTCCTAAGGAGAAGTTGACACTGGAGAGAGAACAGGCTCCAGTGTGGATCTATTATTCATATGATCCCGGTTAGGGATCTTAAACTCTCTAAAGTTTGATTTCCTCCTGTGAAGATAGGAAAAATAAGACTCCCTTCTTAATAGGTCCATATTAAGACTTCCTGGGTCTAAATCTTACTCAGTACAACTAGCCATATGAGATTCAAATGAGATTTCCTTATCATCTTTATGCTCTTCTTCTCCCCCCTCTCTCTCTCTCTGTCTCTCTCTCTGTCTCTCTCTGTCTGTCTGTCTCTCTCTCTCTCTCTCTGTCTCTCTCTCTCTCTCTCGTTATACTGCTTAGCCAACACTCCAATACTCTCTTTTCCTAAGTTGCTTGGCTAGAGAGTTTGCACCAATACAATTGGTGCAAAGAAATCAGAACAGATCAAACCCAGGCAAACCCTTGGTACTTCAGACCCAAAAGGAAGGACTGGAAGCACATTCTGGCTTTCCAGTTGGGGAAGAAGGACAGGAAGAGCCCATGGGTGGTGGGTACCTTTCAGCTGTGCTGGGTGTCTGCACTGGAAAGAGCATTTGCTGCCAAAGGTGGTGCCCTCAGGGCAAGAGAAGGAGGCTGCATAGACATGATGTTGGTCTGGGAGGCCACAGTCCACTGGCTCACATGCCACCTGTTTATTCCATTTGCCCTCGCTGCAGGTGACAGTGACACTGGGCCCCGTCTGAAAAACAGAAATGCACATAGTGAGAAGTGGTAGAAAGGACCCCAAATGAGTAGCCTAGATGTACCCGATGAAAGCTCAGTGTTTAATATTAGCTGCAGCTACTGTCACAATATGAATGAGATATTTCAGTCCCCATTTCACAGAAGTAGAAACTGAGGCTCCAAGACACTAAGTTACACAAATGGAAAGAGGATATGTATAAATGGAACCTAAAGGCTTCCCTCTATGATCTGTAGAGAGCCTTTGTAGAGCTTCCCAGGTGATTATTTCCATTGCATTAATGAGAATCTTGAGTTTCAGATTTCTTGGGGTCTCCTAACTTCTTTCATAAAACCATCTCTGAAACATAGCATGTGGTAGGATATTATCCATGAATCTTAGTATCTTGATTCTGCAGAAGGTGGTAAGGAGTCTATGGTAGTGCTTGGTACAGTGTGGATATTAGCCCAAAGTCTTGCGATTAGACCTCCATGCGCTGAGACCAAAAGCAAGTCACTTTCTATACCTGAGGCTCACCATGGGCATGAAAAGTATGGGTCATTTTCTGAGACACCCCCAGTATCTGCTAGGTCCACATGTGAGTGACGCTGATATGAAAAAGAACCAGGTAAGAAAAGTGAAATGGTAGACAGGAAACTGAACCAGACTGGAAGAGGGGGATAGAAAGGAGAGGCCACGATGCAGAGCCAAGGGAGAGACAGTCACCAGAGCCTGCAGGCTCCCATTCCAGCAGGAAGCTGCCAAATCCCAGGGGACTGGGGATGCCAACTGCTAATCTGGCATTTTAAAGTCAAAGGATATTTTCCCTCTCTTAAATACACATCAAAGGGAGACAGGATCCCTCACTGCAAAAACTGCCTAATTGTTTTCACAGGAGTTCAGACCTGCCACGTCTGACAGGGAAGGAGGTGTCTCAGACAAGTCATTGAGCTCCCGAATGGGCCTCGGGTCAAGCCCAGAAGCACTAGACAAACAGGAGTTCCCAGCAACTGGGTGTGAGCCCTGTGAGGGTGGGGTGCTGGCAAAGGCTAACTTTCCTTACACATCTCTGAAACCCTGATGTCTAAAGGTTCACCTGCTGCCTGCTCCTACTCCCTCATTGCCCCAGACAACCCAGAAGCCACCGTCTGCTGTGTCTCTGTTACAAGCCGCTCACCACCACTACCTTGCAGAACAAAGGTCCTCTCCAGTGTGTTCTACCTGCCAAGGGAGCTCCCAAAACCAGACTCCCACATGGGCATCCAGAGGACCTTTATCAGCCTAGCTCTGACCATGTTACTTCCTCCTGACCAAGCTGTCAGAGCCTTGTTCTCTGGCCGACTGTGAGAAGAAGGAGTTCAGCCAAAGAAACCTCCAGACCAGTTCTTGGGTTCTGCTGCCTTTGGGCATTTTTTATTCCTTTACTATGCTTCTCTATATCCCACATATGAGATCATTCTGTATCCTCTCCTCTCCTGACTTACTTCACTCAGCATGATACTCTCCAGATCCACTGGGGGTAGGTGGGGGTAGAGATGGGGGTGAAGAGTATCGGGGGCAGGGAGGGACGGGGGCAATGGAGGAGGGAAGCAGATACTCTGGTGGATGGAGTGTGTGGTGTTAGAATGTTTTTTTGTATGCATGAAATTCTACCATTAGCAGTACTGTAAATCATGGTGACTAAAATAAAAGATATTATTCTTAAAGACAGAGAGCAAAGGGAGAGCAAGAGAGAGTACGGTATATACAAGACAGACAGACAGACAAAGAGAGAGAGAAAGAGAGAGAGAGAGAGAGAGAGAGAGAGAGAGAGAGAGAGAGAGAGAGTTTTCCGTGAGACATGTGGCATGCTCTTTCTTTCTAGTTTCTAACTGGGTTTCTCCTGTCTCTCCTGCCTATGCCCAGAGCACATATTTCTTCCCTCTTACTCTTGTCCAAATTCTCTAGTTCTCAGTTTCCTGTTTCTTCTTCCAGGGAACCTTCCTCAACGCCCCTTGTGTTTCCATACCCTTCCCACTAGGCACTACCCTCTATAGTACTGACTACATGGCGAAGTTGTCCACTCCCTGTCACTGGCCCCTGAGCTTCTCGAGAGAAAGGATGAGGTTGATCTTAGTGACATATTTTCCTTTGGCACCTAATACAATGTCTGGTTCCCAGCAAACAGATGTTGAGCGATGAGTGAATGAACACATTGACAGAGGACTCACCGCTCCCTAAAGCAGCCCCTTCCACTAGAGCATAGTTCAGGCTGCCAAGGTTTCACTGCCAAATGCTCAGCCCCAGGTCTTGCAGACTTTCAGCATCCACACAGACTCTGATGCAGGTCGAATGGAGCACTACTGTCTTAGAACTCATGAAAGAACCCACTCACTTGATCAGGACATATTTATGGAACCGCTACTCTGTGGGGGTAACTCTCCTAAGTCCTAGGGAATCAGCTAAAAACTCTTTCAGCACCCCGGCAGCTTCTCCTGGATTGGAGAGAGGCTCCAAGTGCAGCCCCCAGCACAAACCTGGGTCTTGATTAGCTCATCATCACGCTGGATCTGGAGCACGTAGCCCGTCCGACAGCTCACGGTACACTGGGCACCGTGGTAATGGTCACTGCTGGAGCAGTTGAGAGAAGCATTCTTCACTGCCAGCTCTGGGCAGTCTGTGGCTTCACATGCGAAGTGTACACAGCTGGAGAGGGAAGGAAGCAGAGGGTCAGAGGGAACTTTCCTAAAGTACCACCAGATGCTGGCTGCAAGATAAAGGCTCCCGGTCTCTTGCTCTGATACCGTTTGGAGACGGAGATGGAGACAAAGAGATGCTGGCTTGAGTGAAGGTGGAAGACCCCAGAGGCAGGACCGTGTTCAAGTTTATCTTTTGGAGCACGTTATGAAAAACGGAAACCCCAGGATTCAAGTCCTGGTCCTTGAAAGCTTCCTGGGTCCTACTGCTTTCGACCTGGAAGAGTCTTGGTTTCTGCTTGGGTGAAATGAGGATATTAGGAATCCAGCATGTTATTCATTGGGGGTCTGATCTGCCACGCACTGAGTTGAATGGAAGTCTCTTTATACTTCCTAATAGTACTCATGTTTAAGGATCATTGTGAGGATGAAACCAGATCATTCCGGAAAAGCTCAGAGTGGCACTCCGGGCACATAAAATCACCTGAATGAACCATAGCTAATGGTATAAATAAAGCCGTGCTCTAGTGCCTAGTAGCTGCCGGGTTTGAGCTAAGGCATAGCACCTTGCCGAGCTTCATTATTCTTAAATCTGACCCATTCGCAGAGACAGGAGACTCAACTGAGGTACTGGGTGGAGAAGTCTATAAACAACAAAGTGATCTATGAATTGTTACTAAGCTTCAGAGACCATGCCTTCCATCTTTTTCCTACCCTTACTGCAGGTGAATTGCCACGGGAAGCTTTCTCGGGTGTCCCCAAGTGTGCCCTCTCACAGGCAAGCTGCCTTCTTTTCTCTAAGGCTATTGCTTCAAGCAGCATGCCTTGAAAGCACAGTTCCCAACCGCTGGAATGTAAAAGAATACAAATGGAAACAACACAACATCCCTGTAACTTGGGTGATCTTTCCCCTTACTTTACAGTTACACAGACAGTAACATTAGTGGCTATTCAAGGATTGCTTATATACATGAGCTCACTCCATCCTCACGACAGCCCTATGAGCTAAGTGTTATTCATTTTACAGGTGGAAAAACCAGGGAACAGCAAGATTAAGTTACTCGTGTAAGCTCCCACCCAGATGTGTACCTCCCAAAGTTCTGCTTGTTAACCTTACCCCACACCTGGACTAGAATGCCAAGACAGCAAAGAACAACACCCAATTTATCTCCCAACACTTCATGTTGTAAGAAGACTGTTTAGCATGTAGTATTTGTTTCCGACAAAGCAAGACACTAGAGGTGGTAATGTGTTAAAAGGGCTCTTGAGCAACTCAGAGGTTGAAATGCTGAATACGAACCCTAGGAGCTTGGGACAGTGTGTGTGTGTTTGTGTGTGTGTATGTCTGTGTCTGTGTCTGCGTCTGTGTGTGTGGAGGGAGGGGGTAGGGCAGTTTTCTTTAACTTTTGCCTCTCTAGATCTTTTGTGATGGGATGTTGATAGCCAATTATTGCTCAGGGGAGCATAGGGGCCGCACCTGACCATATTCAGCCAACTGAGCCAGCAGTTCAGTGCTAGGGCCCTTAGATGTGGTGCTGCTCTGGCTGGCCCTGTGGGACAGTACTGACAGGTTATCCCCAACAGAGCTCAGAATGTCTCCAGAAGATGCTTGGGGTTGCTGGAAGTTAAACCCAAGTTGGGCACATAAGCCAAGACAAGAGATTCAACCCTTGACCTATCTTGCAAGCCTTTTTTGGCTCTTCTTACTCCAAAGCTTTGACACAGGGTAGACACACAGCTGAATTTGCTTTCTGAGTTTTTAATTTTCAATTTTTATCTAGGAAACAAGGAGAAACTCACCATCCTAAGAAAAAATCTCTAGGGGTCAAAGCAATAGTACAGCAAGTAAGGCATTAACCTTAAGCATGGCTGATGTAGGTTCAATCATCGACACCCCATATGATTTCCCAAACCTGTGGGAAGTGGTCCCTGAGCAAGGAGTAAGCCTTCATCACTGCCTGGTGTGGAATAATAACGAAGAAGAAAAAAAAGAAGGAAGAAGGAGGAGGAGGAGGAGGAGGAGGAGGAGGAGGAGGAGGAGGAGGAGGAGGAGAGGAAGAATGAAGAAGAAGAGAAGAAGAGGAGGAAGAAGATCTTTGATGTTTTTCTAGGTGACAGTTTCAGGATACACAGGATATATAGCTTTATGTTCTCTGTCCCTGCTCAAAAGGATGATGTTTATTAAAAAGTGTGTGTGAGTGGGTGGGTGCACTGGGAGATTTGGGGGATTCCACCCTCCAAACCTATCTTTAAAACATCACAAACTCATTTATTTCTAAAGCACTCAGAAAATGGCCAGCATTTGATTTAGCGTTCATGGATCTGAAGATCTATGCCAATGGGCTTTGGGCTCCCATACAGCCTTATTACCAGAAGGCAGGGCAAGTGGAATTCAGTGGCACTGGCCGACAAAGTCCAATGCTGTGCCCTCCTTCCTGCTCATGACAGCTTCTGTGATGCACCACAAGGAGACCTGGGAAAGATGGCAACTCCAGAATCAAGACACGGGCCTTGACACAAACAAAGCCTCTGTGCATGCTGTGTAAACACTGGAGAAAAAGAGCCACATGGTTCCAATTTAAACCCATTGACACTGTAAGCTACCCACTTCCAATTGCTCTCTGACCTGCTCCTTACATTTTGGCTGTTCTCACTCCCTACTCGCAGAAGGCTGCCAGGCTCTCTTCTGATGAAAACCAGTGGGCTTTTGAAGCCTTTCTAAAGACAGCAATTCTGGGATTTTCTGCGCTATGAGGCCAGAAAGTAAAACAAACAAAAAACAAACAAAGAAACAAAAACTCAGCACCCTGTCCCCATGCTCTGAATATGAACGCACTTTGTAGGAAATAGGTATACTAAGAACTGCTATTTCCAAGAGTGGAAAGAGCACAATTCTTTGCAACTGAGCAAGTCAATCTCTCCAGCTCAGTCATGCACCTCTCATTTCACCTTGAAAGGTTCTAGGATGCCTGAACCTTAGTTTCCTAGCCCATAGCATAGCAACAATAAAATAACTGATCTCTCAAGGTTGTCAGCAGTGACATGTCAGCCACCCATTCTTGGACTCAACAGACATTGCCTATGGGGCTTGCTGTTTCCCAAGAAGTGTTCTAAATACACAGAGGTTAGACAAATGACCCACCCATACACCATGTATTTAAAGACTAGAGGACATGGCCCAAATGCAAAAGCAAGTTTTAGATAATGATATATGCAGCGAAAGCACTGAAAGATTAAACTGAAATTATAAAGGGTCAAAATATATGTGGGTAAAACACCATATCCACTCCTATGTTCATTGCAGCACTATTCACAATAGCCAGAATTTGGAAACAACGGGAGTGCCATAGAATAGATGAATGGATAAAGAAACTATGGTACATCTATATAACGGAATATTATGCAGCTGTTAGGAAAAATGAAGTCATGAAATTTGCCTATAAATGGATGGACATGGAGCGTGATTGCTGAGCGAAATGAGTCAGAATATACTGTAGGACTAATATCCATGGTCAGGGAAAATAGAAACTAAGAGGACTGGTGAATGGTTGGAGTAAACCACAAGGATGTGTGGGGCAGAAGGTAGGAAAGATAGAGAAGGGAACAGTATGACAATAACAGTTAGAAATGATCATGGACAAGAACTGAGTGTTAAAAGTTGGTAAAGGGATATTCCTGATAACCTTTCAGTATCAGTATTGCAGACCACAATGCTCAAAAGGGCTCAGGGACACCTCTATGAGGACGTCTAAACGACAACCTGGATGGAATGAAGGGATCAGACACTCAAATGCTTGAGATAGAGCCTAACCCAGGTAGACTAAACAGCATGTGTGAAAGTCCAGGAAAGGTAAAGTTCAGCATGTCACTCAAACAAAAATGAATGTCTTACAAATGCTTTGTTTGGAAACACTAACATTCCATTGGAAGTTGTGCTCTCTACTCTGGGCCTCTTCACTATAAAAGGAAAATACTCTCTGATCACTTGTATCACTGATCCAAGATCCTATGCTTGTCTATGGAGAGGGGCACTGAATTCATGAACCAGTTCGATGTCTTCATTGGAGAACTTCTCACAGCCTCAACTGTTCTCATGTACATGGTGGGTTTCCAGAGGGGCTAGGTATTCATCATTCCTGATCACCTTGTTCTCATGAAACATTATTTAGAACTAGAGCATTTAGTGCGAGAGACATCTGGGCATATTTAGCACATCTGTCTGAAACTGAATCATAGACTTAAAAAGAGGATGAAAAGGAGAAAATAAAGGTAGGAGAGAGGAAGGGAAAGTATCGGGGACTATGTTTTACCTGCATCATTTCATCTGCATCCTTACCAACTCCAAGAGTCAGTATCAGAATTTCCATTTTTAAGAAGAAAAAAAAAGAAATAATGGTGTGGGAAGGTGCAATGCTGTTGGGATGTGTGTTGGAATATAGAATGTAATCGATCATCAGAAACAACTTCATAAACATTAAAAATAAAATAAAATGGAAAAAGGATTTCCCCAGATGGTAAAGTTGGGAATGATATTAGGCAAACAAATTTACTTATGTATCTTGACAGGCTCATAGATTAAATGTTTAGTTATTATAATGTAATTTGCATTCTCGAGTATTTTTTGTTTGCAAAATCTTTAAAAGTTTGCTATCCAGTTTGTTACCATTATCACAAAGATAAATAACCTCTCTAACCAATTTTAAAATCAAAATTAATTGAAATTTCTGGGGCTATGATGCTGCTAGCAGGTCAATCTGTACCTGTAAGGCAAGTGCATCAGCAGCCTGATGGCACCTTCAGACTTCCAAATACCCCAAAATTACTGCTATGCCTTTTACAGACTCCATAAACTTGGGGCAAAGTTTACCAAGAAAGTAAACAGACAAAAATTAGGTATGTAGGAAACACACCCACAAACCACCTCTGGCTCAGCTATATAATTGGAGGCATAGCCTCTCTGGTTCCTGATTGAACTGCTTAACGGCCATGATCCTAGAGACTCAGAAATGA